ATATATATATATATATATACACCTTCTCATCTCAACAAAACAAAAAACTATTAAAAACATGTTTAATGAGTTAATGAAGGACGTCATGTTATGTATTTTAAACCCTCCCTTGTCCCCCAGCCACTAGATTAGCTTGAGTTGTAATTTTCATTTAAAGCATGGTACTTAAGTCTTAAAATACGCAAGTCCACAAGTGGCTAGGGATGTTAACCTATATAAAGTATAGACCGGATTTATCGCTGTGTGCGCATGTAGCTGCTGAGAGTGAATCACGGGTCACCGCTAGGTCACAGTCGCGTAAGGGTACATTTGTATTATTCTGAAGGCTGGCGAGTTAACTAACGCACATAAACAACCCAATAATATTAATATTTTTTTCACTGCCACGTTATTTATAAAACTGGGTTATCAAAAATGTGGAATTATCCAAAGAAGAAATACACTGGCGGAAAATGTGTGACGAGAAAACAAAGTAAATTAACAACTCTTAGTCTGTATAACCTATACCGGTCCAGGTAGTCGTATGTAGAATGCTGGCCGTGAATTCCCCCATCCCACTCCCCTTACTTTCATAACACAGATGTCGTTAAAATGTTTCACAACAAAATTAAAACTCAACGTCTGCATCTTTCCTAACATTGTTTCTGTCACATCGTAACGGCTTCTATGTTACTGTGATAAAATCTGCAATAAAATATATCCACTACAATTTTTTTTTAAAGCGTTCAAATTGGATTTTCAGTTAATTGTTTTAACCCCCCCCCCCCTCCCAAAAAAAAAAAAAATAAATAAATAAAGCAGTGACAAAAATGATTCTGAAAATGCGTCTTCTTTCACAGAAGAACACTTCCGAATGACATCACATATTTTGTGTACGGTACATCTTTTGAAAATGGTCGCAACTCTTCAGTCCAAAATGAAGCCCTGATTTAGTTAACATAAACAACATTTGTTTTTAAAATAACTTGGTTTTCTTAGTCGTTGCACTTTGCTACTTTATCAATATTGTCATTGTAATTTATTTCGCCCCAGGCCCTTTCATCTACGACTTCGACGCCAAATTGCGGCCCATTCCACCTTAAGTTGGTCACCACTCCCCTGACTCGAGGTTTTATTTACTATGCTGACTATATATTATAAACCTATACGGAACATGTGTCTGTAAGATCTCTACTTCAAGTTGATGTAGGCCTACAGGTATCTTGACGACACATTGAAACATTCCTAACAAACACACTTAGCGTAGTTGAATTGAAAATGCATTCGATCAAGCGTAGGAGGGCTAAGCTTGGTAAGCTCGTCAGGTACGGCACGCAGTGTACTTTTACTAGAGGAAAAATGTAATCACCTGACATTCTCAAATTATCAACTTGGCAACAGTGGTGGCTATAATGTCTCATTAGTTTTAGATGGTTTTTTTTTTTTTTTTTTTTTTTTTTTTATTTACCAAGATTAATTGCCCATTTTTAATTTTTTTTTTTTTTTTTTTTTTTTTTTGTCTCAGTTACCAAGATGAACTGCCCATATTTGCTTGGCTTGGCTATCAAAACATGTAATTTGTGCCTGTGAAGGCTATTATTATTACCGCTACCGGCACTCTAATAAAATGTTGTGGGTGGGTTTAGATTTCATCTGGAAAACATGTCAACAATGTCCAATTTCCAAGTCTTTGTAAACATTGTTAGTTCTGGCAGTTTCTGCTTTTTAAATAAAGTATATCTCTCACTATAAAACTATCCTTTACTCGAGTTGCTTACTTTTAAATTGCTTACTTTTAAATGAACGCATGATATAAAAAAAAACAAATTTTAAAAACATTTTAAAAAAGTAAGGCCCCCTTTTAAAAAAAAAACTGCCTTTCTCCCACCAGTACCAGTTTAAACTTTCATGTAATGTAGACGGTTCAGAAACCATTGTCAAAAATTCAAATGTCATTAGAGTACGATCCTCTTGCTTGCATACCTAAGTCCGACGTAATCTTGGCGCGGGGTAGAGAATGTAGGTTTGGCACTTGAACACATGTACGTTATATGAGTATGGTAAATGGTTGTCATGTAGGCGTGATTAGGCACAGGCTGAACTCAGCGGTGTACCCGTCCCCTTTGAGCTGTGTGTGTAGAGTGCCCGTAGTTAAAAAAACACAACTTAGTTTTAGTTTGTTGCAAGTGTATGGTTTAAATAGGATTGTGTCATGCCAATGCTTTACTAGGGTAGCCAGTAATTTGCATAAGAAATAAATACTTTAAAAGAAAAAAAAAATTAATTACAAAGAGAACTGTTACTGTAAATAAACGTGTCTCTAATAACGTAAGACCATAAGACGTGAGTAAAAGGTTAATGAAGAAATATTAAGAAATATTTACGGTAAATTAACATTATAATTTATAGCATATACTTATAGATTATGTTTCGTTAGAAAGTAGACGAGAAAAGAAAAATGATGACAAGACTTTTATGGCGAGGATTTCTAAAAAGTAAAATACCATAATTAAGTTTAAAGTAAATTTATCCCCCCCCCCCCCAACCCCCTTTTTTTCTTTTTAGACAAGAAAAGAAAAATGATGACAAGACTTTTATGGCGAGGATTTCTAAAAAGTAAAATACCATAATTAAGTTTAAAGTAAATTTATCCCCCCCCCCCCAACCCCTTTTTTTACTTTTACACCGCAGAATTATTTAACTAACTACGGTATTCTGAAAAACAAGAGAAATTATTACGCACCAAACGCACCTGCAATATTTTTTTCTTAAGAATCTCACTTAGCACTTGTGACTTAGCGCAGTTGAGCCAGTTATCGGGAATATTGTTCCGTGACATCAGTATCAGCGTCATATTTCCTTCATATTCCCCTTGAAAAACTTATTTTCGGGCTAAAAATGTGATAGAATGATAAGAATGTGTTGTTAAAAGCGAAGTTAATATAAAGGATTTAATATAACAACCCCTTATAAAAACGTTTTTCGTATACATCCTTTAAAAAATATAACATAGAGCAATTTGGGGTGGGGCTGAAAATTTGACATAACATGGATACAAGTAACGCTCTTTATAAGAACGAAGTGGCTATTCGGACCCGGGTCCGCGAAGTGAGAGCTTGGGATTAAAATAGAATATTATTATTGTTAGGTTGTAAGACTAAATTTGGTATCAAATGAAAGATAATTGAATGGACTATATGTTTGTAAACTTACTTCTTCAGTTTAACTAAAATAAACTACCACAAATGACATCCGAATAGCTTCAGTCTATTGGGACCCGGATCCGAAGAGGGGCGATGCGTTTCCGGTTCCGTTTTGACTAAATTCTATTCTGATGTCATTTGTTGTAGCTTATTTTAGTTAAACTGAAGAAGTAAGTTACAAAAATATAGTCCATTTAAATATCTTTCATTTGATTTCAAATTTTGTCTTACAAACCTTACAATAATTTTTAATTATTTTTTAATAAACTCAAACTCTCAACAGGTCCGAATAGCCGCGCATCCTTATAAGAATCCCAATTAGTAACCCCCCCCCCCACCCCACCCCAAGGCTCGCAACCACAAATTTTTTCACGCCCCCTTAGCCTTAACTACCGGTATATTAATATTCATATGAACCACCTGCTTTTACACTGCATATTTATTTCACAAACTATTTCAATAAAACAAAAGAAGTGATTACGCACTTGCGATATTTTCATTTTCAAGTATCTCATTTAACGTGGTTATCGGGAATCATCCTTTATGCTCCCCTTGGGAAAAAAAAGATTTTTTGGAGGCTGTGGTTGAAAATTTGAAAGAATGTGGTGTCATTGGCAACGAGTCTATGTGCAAAGTTTCAGCTCGATAGGTTGACGTGAAATGGGTCACTTAGCAATCCGAAGATTTTGCCAGTTAACCAGTCCTCCACCCAAGAACCAAAGTTAAGTTAATTAAAGTATTTAAAATTAAAAAGGGTTATTTTTATGGACACCATATAGCACTTGTACTGTTTACAGTGTTACACTTAAACTTAATGATCATTTACACATTCATCCCCAATGGATTCCCGACAGAAATGTCCAGTGCAAACGTGTTGAACAGGTACCGGTATCAATGGTTAGTGTCTGTTCTAAAGATTGAATGAACTCTTTTTATTCAATTTCATTGGATGGTTTTCTTTCAAGTTCAAGGCATTAATTTTTTTTTTTTCTTTTCTTTTTCAGATTTCGGTGGGGGTTCTCAGTTTTTTGTACCGGTACTTTTAAATTATGCCTATGACTGACCAACGAACTAAAATTTGAGGTCAATAAAAAAAAAAAGAGAACATTATTGCGCCAAAATCGTTACACTTTACATTAATATCACATTAATATCACGTGTCGCCTTAATATTAATTATCATTACGGTGAGAATATATAATTTATCTTCACTTTATCAAATTTAGCCAATGGATTACCTAGATAGCAAAATATACCAGAATGTAAATTCCATTTAGAAATATTGAAGTTATATTACTTATATAGTCTGAAGTCTACACAACACCCCCTAAGTCTATTAAATTTAAATCTAGTCATAGTAGTAGTAGTAGTAGTAGTAGATATGACCAGCAATAATGATAACAACCCTTCATTTCCTATGAGGCCAACTAAAATGATGTTTGAGAGCTGAGTAGCTGGTCATTTCTTGTGTGATAATTGCATGTGAGAGCTTTTATTTAATTTAAAACCAACAAGTACTGCAGTTTAAATGAGATAACCCCAATAATGATTATTTTGGATGAATTAAATCTCATATACCTGTATATAACTGTATTTAGGTCACACAATTTTCATTTACATAAATGAACAAGTCACACGGAGTTCATGTACTTCCAGGGCACAGGTTAATAGTAATAGTTTAACTAAATAATTAAAATATAATACTATAATTACCCCTGTATATATGAGAGGAAGATTTCAACTACAAAAATCTTTTCATCATCTATTGGTACATCCAAAACCTAAATGGATGGAATAGTTGTTTCAATCCCACTGTTTTTGTGTGTGTTCAGTTTCAGTTACTTTTAACTGACCTCAAGACTATTGGGGCTTTCCTGTCTCTACAACAGTTACATTAAGACACACAAATAGATATAGAACAATTTGCTTTTCAACATTTCTATACATTTATTACACCAACATTATAAGTGATAAAAATGTACACATAACAAATTCAAGTTAAATGTTTACATCATCTGTGAATAAAATAATACAAAGGTGAGATTGATTTTACACTACAATAATTATAACTTACTATAAATTTGTAAGTCATTTGTACACTAGATTAACTATAACTATAACTTACTATAAGTTTATAAGTCTTACACTACAATAACTATAATTTACTATAAGTCTACTCTAAGTCTAAAGCAAAAAAAATGTGCTTCCGTCTTATTCTTTTATTCCTTGTTTTTCTGTGAGATTTAAAATTGCTTTCTAACTTGTTTATTTTTGTACACGAAAGGCTGACATTTAAGCATTTATTTAAAGCAAACCGAACTAGTTTTGAAAATCTACAATTAACGGGTAGCGTCAATTCTAATGGGGACTGGTAAAAATAATTACATGTAAATCAAATTTGAAGGTTACGGTCAATAAGAAATTTCCCCCCACCCGTTAAATAAAGTATTAATAATAAAAACTATAACTATAAGTATTTAAAACATTCTTAACATGAATATGTTAAGTTATATATAAATATATATATATACTAATACTAATATCATGATAATTTTTCAATTAGTGCTATAATAATTCTATAATTACTAAACATTTTAACCAAGAGAAACTGAATTAAATGTTAGAAAATTTATAAGCACTTATAACACAGTGACTTATTTTGTCATATTGCACTCCTCCTGTAGGGCATTTCCTTTGAACTGAAATCTCAAATAAATACACTTGAAAAAAAAAAAACCAAAAAAAAAAAAAAACCACATTTGAGATAATTTTACTGTTATAGAACACTGTATTTATACAGAAAAAATTCTAAAATTTATAAGCAATTATAACACAGTGACTTATTTTGTCATATTGCCCTCCTCCTGTAGGGCATTTCCTTTGAACTAAAAACTCAAAAAAAAACACTTAAAAAAAAAAAACCAAAAAAAAAAAAAAACCACATTTGAGATAATTTTACTGTTATAGAACACTGTATTTATACAGAAAAAATTCGAAGAAATCAGTTACCGGCATGCTTATGAAAGACATAAATAGATGGTCCTTAATACGCCGGCAGTTCAAGCACAACACACAGTAGAATAAAATATGCCTTCTTTGGTAACTGCTCCTCTGCATAATCTTTAGGGTCCAGTACTACGTAAACAGTCAACCTCCAAATCAAGCTTAGGTTATGTGACACTTGCAATGACATTTGTTATTACTGCTTAGTCTTTCTAAACCAGTGGGTAATGATGGCAGTAGATGCAAAGAAACTTTACTTTAGGCAAACTAAGTAATGTCCCTTAAACGTAAAATGTGGGTCTTCTTTCTATAATCTTCATGCCAAATGACTTAACACTTTGCCAGCATATTGCCATGTGATATCATGTGATATGAAATGAAAGCTGGAAATAGTCTCGTTTTCATTTTAACTTAAACATGCATAATTCATTTTCAGTAACACAAGCAGCTTGTTTGCACATGATCAAGCCAGTGGATATTTTTAAACTGAATACACAAAAGACAACTATTAAAAACATTTTATTTTGGATGGATGTACATTAATGACTTGTATTAGTCATGACACAATGGGAAAATAAGTGGGTTAAAGAAGATATAAAAAGTGGCAGAAATACTTTAGCTCAGTAAAGTACATTAATGATTTAATCTGTAAAAATAATTTTTACCCTTTTTTTCATCCTCATACAGATTTTTAAGTAACTATTTCTTATTATCCACTTAATATTTCTCAACAACTAGGAATCTGGGAGGTTTAGCAGATTTACATCCATAAAGCTCGATTGTCAAAAAATTTCTATCAAATACCCGGGTATTTTTTTAAAAATCTCCCCACTGAAGAAGAATTGAAGATGAATCCAAGTAAATCAGGAATTTTACAAGTCATAATCCAACATTGCTCTGACAAACTTCATTCAACTGTAAAGTTGCACGATGTTTACAAAGTAGAGGTAGATATAGTCATACATCCAGTAATACAATGTTAAATATTTTAACAAAAATTAAATAACAGTGACAAGTATTTAAAGGAATAGGGAATAAAAGAAAGTGTGAGTAGAGAAAATTATATTAATTTTTCAGCTGTCAGTAATGCAATGACGGAGTTGGAGTACGGGAAAATAAATGAGGCCCAATTAAGGTTTAGATACAATGGTTGAGAACTTTGGTTATAGGAACCATAAATTCATCATGAATGCTGGGCCAGAAGTAGGCCAGCATGAATCATTAACACAGAGAATAGAAAAGTTCAAATTCTTTCAACAGAGAGGTTGTGGGAGGGAGAGGTATGAAGTCTAAATGTAAAAATGCTTCAGAAACTTGCACGCATTCTGCTAGCCCACTGAAACCTCAATTAGTTTAATCAGGCAACCCCAGGACCCACCAACGAGGAGGCGCCGTGCAAGGTTTAATAGGTCCCAAGAAAATGGTTCCATTTATTAAAAAAATAATGTGATAGTTTAGATATGTACAACAATAAAGATGCTTTGTTTTAAATTATCAAAATGATCTTATTCTTATATACATAGAATCTTTCAGTGGCATACTCTTATCTCTTTCTGGATAGAGAATAAACATTTACTCTACTAATGACAAAATTATAAAAATAGGAATGAATGAAATCTCAATTTAACATAGGTAAAACATTTAATATAGCACTACAGGATGTTTTAATTTTTTCATTTATCCCGTAACTAATATAATTTAAAGAAAGACCCTCCTTTAATTGGGTTTTCTAATGTGGAGTAGTAAAGGATATATGGCTATACCTACTTTTAAATTATGTCTAAATTTTAAAATAAGATTCATACATGATCAGTATAACAAATTGATTATGAATGAGAATGATTGACTGCAAGCAATGAATTCTTATCTATAGAATTAAAATACTATTTTTTTCTGAATGACGGTACACAATAAGAGTGTTAAGTTAAATGTCTTTGCATACATAGATTAAATCTTCCATTCCACATTACATACATTAAAACTTGGTACTGCAGATGTTCAATAACCTCTTCTAATAGGTTGCAAATGTTTTTGATGATATATTTCACAACCTTTCATTCGTTAGTGGTTTTAAAACAGGTTCAATAAAACTTAAAAGTGATACCGGTACAACATGACCAACAATTAAAATGCAAACTAAAGAAATAATTATATTCAAATTTTTTTGTCTCAATTAATTTAATTAATATCTACGATAAAGTTATTATGTTAACTTGATACATAATTTAAAAGCTCACTTAACATTTAAGATTTTTGTGCAAGAAATGCACCAAGTGTAAGAACTCCAAGACCTGCAGCAGCACAGCTAACAATCGTCTTAAAATTTGGCCACTGGCTATCACTTAGTCGATCAGCTCCTCTTGACTGAAACTCCAAAAAACCTTGCTGTGAAAGAAACAAAAATTAACTTTAAACCATGAGCAATTATTCATTTGCTATCAGGTGTTTTAACTATAGTATATAATTTGTATATATATATATATATATCTCTAAAGGTCAAGACTACCAACAGTATCTCAATCTCAGCAAGTTTTCCAAGAGAATTTTAAAAATGTAATAATCCATTTCGGTACCTCAAAAAAAGTTCCCCAAAGTTTTCAATTCCGGTTTATAAAAAATATAAGTGCTACAGATGATTAGTGTCTGGTTTAACAAGCCAGGCAGAGTTTGCTAGGTGTGCCCCTCCCGATCCATTTCAAGACAAGTTATTTTGCTTTTAGGATCAAGTGAAATTGAGTGGGGAAACAACAAAATAATAAATTGTTTACCGAGCCCTAAAACTAATTTTTTTTTTTTTTTTTTTTTTTTTTACAAACCCACAACAAAAAGACAAAACAAAAAAAGCCCCGAAAAATGCAGTGCATTGTAGTGAATACACATTGTGATTGGCACATGATGTTTAAACTGGGGAGTAACTCACGTGACCACAGCTCAGCTGGGAAATCAGACATAAACAAGGTGAAGGTTGCATCGTAGTTTTCTCAAGGCTGATAGCAATTGAACATCAGCGTTTTAACAAAATATTTGTCTTCCTTATATGAACCAATTTTTTAGGGAGTTTAGCATGTCGTTTGTACTGTGTAATCTGCAGTGGTCCTAATTTGTGTCCGTTTAGAGCAGAGGTTCTCAACCTTCCTTAATGCCGCGACCCTTAAATACAGTTCATCATGTTGTGGTGACCCCCCCCCCCCCCAATCCATGCAATTATTTTCGTTGCTACTTCATAAATGTGTTTCCGATGGTCTTAGGCGACCCCTATGTAAGGGTCGCGACCCACGTGTTAAGAACTGCTGGTTTAGAGTTTAGAAAGTGAATGAGTAATGGGATCTTCGCTGTTTACACCAGACAAGCTGGGGAGTCATTTCAGTTTTGTTTTTTTCCGGGGTGGGGGCGACAAAAACTTGGTTGACTTATTAAGTTATTACTTGAGGCGCCACAGTACATACCAATAATTTAAATAAAACCTGTAAATTCAAAAGGGGGGGGGGGTGCCTTCCCATATGACGCCCTGCAGACAAGCTGGGGAGATTTTATCTTCAACTACCCAGATATATAAAATTAATAAAACACAATTATTTGATGAATTCGCATTCTTGTGTCAAGCTGTCCTTATGAGTGATAAAAAAACAACTAAAAAAAAAACAGTTAAAATCGATGCCTTGCCTGGGGACCCATTCTAAACAAACCTTCCTGTGTGCGTGGGCTGGTATTGACATACACACTGTTGGCAACCGTTCGATCTATTCTTAGGCCACAACTAGCTGAGGACATTGTTGCGCTTTATGCAGCGGTGGTTTGAATAGTTTATCTGTAGTAGGGCTGTACGTGTTAGTTAAAGATGTGCAGGTGCATCAATTAATTAACATTTGCATTGTTTTTTTTTTAAAATAAATTGTAGCCATAAATCAAATCGTTCATGATTCATAGGATGTAACGTTTCAATTGAACTATTTATAAAATAAGCCGCCCTCAATCTGTGTTTCAATTTTTACTTAAACTTTACTCTGGTGCGTAGTATCATTATCAACAATAATAATTCTTTTTAAAAGTATTAATAGCAAACTTTAAAAAAACAACAACAAAAAAAAAAAAAAAAAAAAAAAAAAATTTATAAAAAAAAAAAAAAAAAAAAAAAAAATAAAAATAAATTTATATGCAAAATGCATAGGTATACAAAATTCAAACGCAATTTGTAAGTAATATATTTTTTTCATACTTTGGTAAGGGAATTGCATTCTTCTTTTTTCTAAAAAAAAAAAAGCTTATGCTATATAATTTATTATTGCCACATGAAACTGGATTTTAATATACCGGTACTTTAAAATTATTTTCAATTGGAAAAAAGGAAACACAATGTTGATTTTAAAATAAATAAAAAAATAGCCCTTACTAATGTACCGGAATCAGTGAATTTCTGTTTGGTGACGATTGCGCCATCAGTGCTGGCTCAGATGCCAGTCTGAGTGCGCAAACAGTGTTCTAAATTTCTCCCAAGATCTAATCATCAATGCTCAGAAGACGAGCATTGCACCAGCAAGCTTCTGAAAAGCCATGCCCATGGGCAATGACTGGACATGGCATAGATTCCATTACCTCGACACTCAGTGACACAATATAATCATCGCAGATGATAAAGTGAATCTCCCCGCTGTTAGAGAAATCAGACATGGAGCGGCTTCAGCCCCCATACTCCATACTTAGCATAAATTCCAAAAGGCACTTGTGCTTCCTAAGCTAGTGAAATTTGGACAGTCTTCCAAAGCAAAATAAGGAAGTTGAAACACTTTCATATCAGAGGTCGTAGAAAAATCCCTAACATCAAAAAAAAAAAAAAAAAAAAAAAAAAAAAAAAAAAAAAAAAAAAAAAAAAAAAAAAAAAAAAAATAAAAAAACAAAAAAAAAAAAAAAAAAGAAAAAAAAATAAAAAAAAACAGAAAAAAAAAAAAACAAAAAAAAAAAAAAAAAAAAAAAAAAAAAAAAAAAAAAAAAAAAAAAAAAAAAAAACGGTTTCAGACACTGAAGTTATCACACTGGAAAATATCAACATCTTGATGCAGTCATAGTGTTAAATGTGAGCATGGCAGATGGCTGCAAGCTGTCTGTGGAGATTTGGAGAAAAATCTTTTGAAACATCATAAAAGCCTCACCGAACACATTCACTATCAACCATGAAACTTGTGTGCAAACAGTAACTGATTGAGCCTAATGACTCTCTTGAGTAACAAAAAAAAAAAGGTTCCATACTGCAAGAGGCCAATAGATCCATTGTTGCAGAACTCAAGATGTCTTCAAGAAATGATGGTACCCCCCATTGCTCCTGGAGATGTCCCTTATCAAACCATATCATTGGCCTCAAGGACTTAGTGCAGCATTTCCCAACAGTTTTTGCCCCACTTGAACACCAACAAAAGATTTCAGTGTCCCCCACATCCATCCTTAATGAAAGAGATTTTTTTTTTATATTTGAGATATTTCAATTTAGTTTCTTTTTTTTTTTTAGACCTCCTGATTCAACACTGAGTTAAAACTTATAATGCAATTTTATTTCAATAAAAGACCAACATTAACATTAAAATGGTTTCTGTGTAACATTGCCCTCATCCAAAAACCCACTTTTTTCCTATTTCACATACTGAATGTCACACACAATCTTCAAATTGCCATCTGTGGTGTGTACGCCCCAAAATCGGAGCATTTCTTCTTTACAATGTAAATTGTTTCACATTTTGTTACTGGCTCCCCTTTTTTAGTTGCAGTAATGAACCACAGCATGCAACAGATTCATAAGAGGATTGTTAGGTGAACGTCATTATTTTCAGTGTGATCTATATGTATATTTATGAGCGCATTTCGGCTGTGGGATCCCATGTTTACATACTTTAATTTAAATTGACATGAGTGTTGATAAAAGCTCTAAATTTGCTTTTATCAAATTTTGGCGGAACCTAGTTTTGCATATTTTGAAATATATGAATATAAAACTTCAAGAAACATGGTCTCTAGAATAATCGATAAAAAGTGTACTAATGTTAAAAATATCCAAGGAACATATTATGTAATAGCTGGTTAGTAAGGTCACCTTGAAATTTCAAATGTAAAAATGCTGGTTCATATTTGTAACACCTCTAGTCTGAGCAGTATTCTTAAGTCAATATATAATAATAAGCCTCAGATTCGGATGATATAGAAGGTTATCATCTATTGCTAGTCACAACCTTCATGACTATATAACAGAACAATAAATGAGTGGTCGAAATCTTTTTATTTTGCAAAGTAATTTTACTTGTTCCTGTTAAATTTAGTGAGATACAGGGATTATCTACTCTAAGAAGGATGAAGGATAACATAACAGTTGAGCTAAACATATGTAGCCATACAACACAGTCACTACAAATTTGATGAGGGAAAACATAGCAAGGAACTAGTGTAAAAGGTAAATTCAAGTACCCAAATATGTCTTCTGTTAATGTAACAGATTTTATGATTAAAAATAGGAGAAAATGCTGAAAATTTGGTGAATAAATAAATTTTAATCATACAAATACATTTTTATAGTACACAGTGGTACCCATAGCTGGGGCCATTTTTACCCCAAAAAATTTCTGCGGGGGGGGGGGCTTACATGTGACTCTTAGAAGGAATAAATAATTAGTAATATTTTGTATGCAGAGATTATCTTAACATTATCATTAGACACCAGACTATACTCTCTAATTTATCTGACTTCCCTCCAAAAATCCCTTTCTTTTCAAAAGTGGATTAGGATATTCTACTGCATCCATTTATTCTTTTCTTTATATTGTTTGCCAGATGATACTGCCTCTCACTCGCAGACACAAAACTTTCTTTTTTTTTTCTTTTTAAAGCTTTACCATGTTAGTGCCTCGAGCTATTTATCTACATATACTCAGTGTTTCGTTATTTGTAGGAATTCAAGAAGTTTTCAGCTGGTAAAAGAAAAATGTACATGGTTTCTATGAATTAAAAGTTTAGGTAAATACTATTTAGCAGACTAAGTCACAAAAGTCAACTATCTGAAGTTTTCATAAAGAGAACATTCTTAGAGTATAGGAATAGTTATGCTGGTATAGAGTAGTGGTAAAAGTATTACTTGCAAGAATTTTATTTATATTGCCATTGCATTCATGGTTTAAAATTAGCCATCTATTTAACTTTTTTAAATTAATAGCTATACAAAATTACTGCAGTCATAGTATTGTCTCCTCAATAAAAATATATTAGAAGTGATGTATAATTTTTAACACTTACATTGTTAACCATGACCTCTTAAGATAAATAATAATACTAATAGGTGACCATAACTTTTATCACTGGATTGGAATGGTTGGAATTTTATCAACACTGAAATGAATGACATTTAATTTTGGTTATGACAGAATTTTTGTTACACAGGTTTTTAAATTGAATTATGGATAATTATTATTTAATATAAAATGTCAATTATGGAAAATGGTATTATTTATTTATTTATTAAATTTGTTTTAAAATTATTTTTTTTTTTAAATCTTCAATAAAAATCAATAATTTAAGTTTGATTAAAAGTTTCACAAATATTTATTTAGTCTTTGATTTGCCTTATTATGTTGCCTTTGACTTCAACTTGCAAATATAGTTTTCACCAAAAAGGCTAAAATTGCTTAATAACTTAAATAAAGAATGCCTGTCTTGTTTTTAGTAAACCTGCCCTAAAACACATTTTTAAAATCTGGACTAGTCAAAATTTAAACTTAAAAGTAAAAAACTGGAAGCTTAAAGTAGGAACTGTTAACTATACTCTTCCCAAAATTATTATAACTTACTGTTTCAACTTATGGCAAATATTAAGTTAGGCTTAAGTTACATTTTGGGGAGTTTAGTAAAGCGTCTTACTGATACCTTGTAAGTAATAAGCCTGATTAGTCAAATTTGAGTATTTTGTTCTTTTTAGATTTCAAAGCATTAAAAAATTTTCTTATCCTATTATTTTTACATTAACAGACTATGAGTCTATGAATTTGAATATTTGTGTACATGGATAAAACACTTAATTCACTTGAAAACTGAGCTATACTATAAGGGTTAAGTAAGTTAGTCAAAAAATAAAGGCCTTGTAAAAAAGTAAAAGTATAGATACTAATGTCACTAATGATTATGATGCAACCTTTCTTCTTACTCTTTGTGTAATTGTCTTGTAAATGTCAAGAAAAGACTAAACTCAAATAAGGATCAGAGAAAATTCAGTGTACTGCAGACTGTAGGTTAATATAATACATTTTTGGCAAATGAAGCAATTTAATTAAGTATTAGTATTCGAATACTATCTAGGCCCATGGTTCCAAACCCATGGGTGGCAACACCTGAGGGTTTTCTGAAGGATCACCTGCTGAAAAATGTAACTAAAAAATAATAATTTGTAAAGAAATTTTCAGTCAGTGTCTTAAAAAAGTATCACTAATATCATAATATTTTTTAATACAAGTAACTTGCATCTTTTTTGTTTGTACATCTTTTATTCTTTCATCGGGTTATACATTTAATTCAAAAAATTTTGGGGTAGTGGGTCAATACATTTGCGTTTAAGAAAATCTGTTTGCAGGTCACTGTGCTTGGATTTAAAATTTAGAAAATAGTATCTTGATCAAAATCAAAGTAAGTACTAAGCTAAGCAGCAAGGAATATAACAAACGCTACATGGCAATTTCTGATTTCAAAATTTTTAAAGAAAAATAGTAACATGATAATATTGATAATCTAATGTTAGTAATATAGTATTATTATGAATGATATAATATAAATAATTTGAAAGATAGATTAAAGGATGTCGCAAGTTATAGGATCCACCTATTAACATTAAAAAACAAATGTTACTGTTATTGAGCAACACATTATGCTTCTAAATTAGTAAAGTATTACTAACTTTTATTTAAGCCTCTAACTCTATCACTATCTATACTATTGACTATTGCCATTGCCCATGCCACGTCTTTACAATATTGACAATAACTAACAAAACAATGTCTATGTCAATTTCAATTATGAATCACCTTAAATACCTTAACTTTGTTGTTAATTAAATATATACTTTACAAAAACTTACCCAATTATTATGAGTACTCATCCAATTACGTAAATTAGTTTCCACGTATGTTGTAACCCATTCGACAACATTATCCACTAAATGAGGTTTGTTACTTTCAAAACAGTGTACAGCAAAACGCCCAGAAAATCCAAATAACGCAACAATACGTCCCCAATTTACACCTCCAACAAACGTTTCAGCAACTACAGTGGAGAAGACATCATGAGCATTTTCATCTGTCAGGTGAAGCTGCTTAACTAAATCGTCAAATCTAGTACTAAATCTCTGTTCAAACTCATCGCCAAGATCGCGCATAGCTCGTTGTACTGGGTTAGGTTGTACATTTCCTTGTCGGCCATCATTTTCCCAATGGTATCCAGAAAACTCCAGTCGGTATCGTATGTAATCAGCAACTATGCTACGAGTGTTATCCAATTCCATAATTTGTGGGGAATCATTTACAGGCAATACATCACGTTTTTTAACCATGTCAAACTGTTGGAATTACACATTTAAAATGAATTTTAAAACTTAGTTATTTCAATGAAACTACGTCCGTTTCGTTAGCTCTGTGGCTAGTAGCTACCCTTAGAAATGAAACAAATTCGATTGGCTGAATGCTTAAATAGGTCACATTCACAGAGGCTCTCAAACTGCAACAAAATATTGTGTTTCATGCTATTTCTTGTGTGACAGGGGTGCACTGCATTAAACGTACATCTTTAGAAATTCATTGGACAACACAATAAACACAACCATGCCATGAAATGAGTATTCAGTTTGACCTAATCCAGTATCAATACGGGAATGCTAAAAGCGTTGTGAAATAATCCTAATAGTAATACTAATCCAATTTTCTTAAATCTTAAAGATTATTTTTTATCAATATCTCTTAATAATAATAATAGTTATTATTATTAGGTTATTCAAATGAAATTTGAATTGCTTAGGCGTAGAACTAGAGCATATTAGAATTTAGGTAGTTATTATTCTAAGTTTCATTTTGATAGCTTTGGGTTGTTTACATTTAAAAAATAATATAACTTGTAGACAAAAAGTGAATAGAAGCGAAAACAAGAATAATAAGCATTAAAATTCTCAGCAGGTCAATAGAGACCACTTAATTTAAAATTTAATATAATAAAATTCCCAGGATATTTTTCAACCCTTGCAATCTCGAGCCGTATGTAACTTCCGACTAGAAGCCGACCGAATTTCGGTTTCGGAGCCGAAAGTTGCCATTTGATCACTCTCGGCACAGTTTCGGTTTCGGCCGAAACAGAAACTTTAATTTTCGGCCGAAAGTAATTGAGCCTTTCGTCCGTTTCCAGACTGTCACTCCAATATTCATTATTGCTCAACATCTTACTTTAATCATATCTAACACAACTAAAAATGTATGGCGGTCCATAATACTTTTTGAACAACTTGTGCGGGCCAAAAGAAAATAGGACAGGAATTGTGCGGTCCAAAAATTTAAAAAAAAAAAAAGGACAGGGGGAAAAGCCATTAATAAAAGAATAGGAATAAAGAATATTTTGTTACTTCGCGGGCCGCACAGTGGGTGCTGGCGGGCCGTATGTTCTGTTGTGCAGGCCTGATATATAATACGACTATGCTCTCAGCTGCACGATGACCTATTTGTTCAATATTTCCATTAAAAAAAATACAATTAGGCTTAGGCACAGGTCAATAGTTTTATGGAAAAAACAACTATGGGAATGGTACCATTATTATTTATAGTATTATTTTTGTATCAATTAAAATTTAGGTACTCGAGGCATAGATTTATTGAATTAATTTATTTATGCCATTCATTTGATTTATCATATTCATTATCATGCTCATAAACTTTGTCATAGGCAATAGTGAATAGTATTGTGAAATTAAACGTGTTTCGCATAAATCCTTTATAAAATGGAATATCGAGCAGTGGAAGGGAGGGGGTCAAATTTTGAGAAAACATGCATTTATAAGAATCCCAATTAGTGCTCCCCCCCCCCCCTGGTCAAGGCTCGCAACCCCACCTTTTTTCACGCCCCTTAATTATTTTAATATCTTAATGACCCACCTGCTTTTTCACTTATTGTGAAATTTAACGTGTTTCGCATAAAACCTTTATAAAATGGAATATCGAGGAGTGGAAGGGAGGGGGGCAAATTTTGAGAAAACATGCATTTATAAGAATCCCAATTAGTGCCCCCCCCCCCCCCCTGGTCAAGGCTCGCAACCTCACATTTTTTCACGCCCCTTAATTATATTAATATCTTAATGACCCACCTGCTTTTACACCACATATTTATCTCACCCCAACGTTTCAGAAAAACAAAGAACATATTACACATACATCGCCCTTGTGATATTTTATTTTAAAAATGTATCATTTAGTTTATTTCGTGAAATCACTCTCATCATATTTCCTTCATTCTTCCCCTTGAAAAACAGGGAAAACGGTTTTCGGGGGTGGGGCTGAAAATTTGATAGAGTGTGTTATCATCGGCGAAGAGTCTACGTCTTCGTGCCAAGTTTAAGCTCGGTAGGTTGAAGGGAAGTGGGTCAGTTAGCCGTCTGAAGATTTGCCACACACCTAGCCAGAAACAATCACACGAACAAAAGTGAAGTTAATGTAGAGGATTTTTTTTTTTTTTAATCGTAGGGGTGGTTATTATTTTGTTTCATTTTTTAAAAAAAATAATTATGGAATCTTAGGCTTATTCAATTCATTTATTTATTGAAATTCATCATTATCATGCTGATAAACATTGTAATTGAAGGGAAAAAAATTCTACAAAATCTGTCATATTTATGGACACAAATTATATAACGAGAATAATAAAACCTTAAGTAATTTTAAGAAAATATAATTGTAATTTGATTTTAAATTAGGCAAAAATAGCCTTTAATTTACGACATAAGCCTACACAAACGTGTGCATGGATGATTGTATCGCGGTTTCGTATGATAATTATGTAGTAGCCCTACTATATTATCATACTACTCATACTAAACGTAGCTCAACATTCGTTCAATTTTTTTTAAAATCTGGGTCAAATATAAAATTATTGTAAATGTCAAACAATAAGCACACGTGTTTCAGCGAAAATGTATGGTTTAGCAGAACTAAGAGTTCCTTCAAGACTTATACATTTAACATAAATGCTATTGTTACCAAAGAAAGAAATAATTATTTATTTTTAAAAATGGCAAATATAATCATCAAGTGTACATTCAATGGAATGGGTGCATCTGCTTTGTCTGAACCAGTTCTTCTAGGCTTGACTTTGCTTTGGCTAATGCTACTTTTATGTCTAATCGTGACAAACCGTTTGCTTCCCTCCAGGATACTGCTTCTCAGCTAAGTGCTATTTTTTAAAATTTTATTCTGTTTTTTTTTCTGCTATTTGTTCGCTGACGAAGGCTTCCTGTCGACACGTTTGTTGCTTTTGTTGCGTTACTTTTTTCAGGTCTTACTTTGTTTTACTCATTTCCTATTTTGCTAGCCTGATTGCAGTCACTCCCCTTATTACCCTTACTTAAAGTGTCGTTGGACAAGGAAGCATCCTTTAGCTTCTCAAGAACTTCTCAGCACATTCAATATGATCTTTGCAGCAAGGTAATATCAACTGTACTCCGATGCTGGGGAGTTTCTTGGAACATCATAGGAGGCTTTTTTATTATCATCATCATCATGTCCCTTAGTCCTTGGACCGTTGGGATGCCACAGATGACATGAAAACTATCCTTCTCGATTCCTCTCTGTTTTCTACACTTCGCACAGCATCGCCTAGTTTTAGTCCTGTCCACTCTTTGATGTTATCTTACCATCTTTTTCTCTGTCTTCCTCTTCTTCGCCCTTTCTCTTCTTCTCCCTTCTCTCGTTGTGCTCTGCATGATTTCTTTGGCGAGCCCTTGTTGTCTTGTCACGTGCCATACCATTGCAGTTTGCGATTTTTTACAATCACCAGGAGGTCATCATACTGCCCAATTGCAAGACGAATCCTTTCTTTCACTTGTGCGTTCGAGATATGGTCTTTATAGCAGTTTTCAAAAATGCTTCTGAAACATCTAATGTCCATCGCCTTTATTTTTCGTTCAAGTTCTGCAAATAATGTCCAGGACTCACAGGCATACAAGAAAATAGAGAGGACTAATGAGCGCATCAGCCTGATTTTGGTGCCGTGGCTATATTTTTGTCATTCCATATTTTTTTAAGGCTCTTTTGTGCTGTTGTGGTCTGGGCGATCCTGAACATCAATTGGGGCTTGGAGCCTTCTTCCGAGACTATTGTTCAGGTATTTGAAACTGCCTACTGTCTATAATCTTTTATCCCCGACCTTAATTTCAGTGAAGATGCCGGCGGCATTATTAGTAATTAATTTTGTCTTTTCTGCACTGATTTGCCTGCCAAAGGACGATGAAGTCTTGTCGAGACGCTTTACTAGATTGGCTAGCTCTTCTTCGTTCCCAGCAAGTCCATCTTTGTCATCCGCAAAAGGTAGGTTGGTGATTGTTCTGCCACCAATGCTGACTGTCCCTACATGCGCTTCCAGTGCATCTGACATAATTCTCTCCAAGAAGACGTTGAATAAGATATTGAATAGCAATAAATGGTAGTAAGCGATTGGGTAGAGAAGAAGCTCTCGTCCAACGGGATTGTCATTTGCATCTCGCGTCTGATCTCACCACACATCTCACACAGTAAGTCAGGAATCAAAAGAAAGCAAGGGACATTGCATTATTGCTTTAGTTTACTGATAAAGCATCAATGCCTCAATGTGGTCAATGTGGTCAAATCTTTTTTTCAGTTCACACGTTAAAATTTTGCGTCAAATTTCTTTATGAACGCATTATTTTGTTTTACTATAGTATAGTGCGTTCAAAAATAAATTTGACGAAAATGTTAAAGTGTGAACGGAAAAAAAAGATTCGACCAAATTTCCGTCGATCAATTTACCGTCGTCGAAATTTCTTACGATCAAATTTCCGGAAAACACTTATGATATCTGATTTTTTTCTGCGACTTTTTTCCAATGACTTTTTCTCCTGTGACTTTTTTTCTTATGACGTTTTTGCTGTGACTTTTTTTTTCCGCTCACCGCTTCACCCAGCCCACTGATCCATTCTCTAGTCAGCTCTAAGTTTAGCCCTTAGTTTCCAAGAATTGAAACTCAGGCTGCTGGATAAATGCGAGAGATTTCCAGAAAGCAGTGTGCCAAAACCACTGCACTAAACATTAGTGACTATACCAAGTCTCACCGGAACACAATTTTATTTTTCCACGGGACGTAGCAACCAGTGGCAACAATCGCTAATTACCCAACATTTCAACTAAGTGACCCTTTCACTGCCCCCCTGAACAGGGTTTCTTTCAGCTATATCTCCGGGGGCAGTGCCCCGGGGAAAACCAAGTGCCCCCCCCCCCAGGAGCAAAAATATGTCTAACAATAAATCAACTGGCACTGCCCTGAAAAATCCTCGGGGGAAAATTTCTGAAAAAATCACTGCCCTTGAAACCGCGGACCCCAGTTTGAGAAACATTGTATTAGGACCAAGCATGGAAAACAAAATCACGAACCTTTACACATCGTGTTTCATTTAGTGAAAGACTATAACAATGAATCAATTATTTATTTTTTAAGAGACCCCCACCCTTTTATATTTTGATTCAGTGTGTAGTATATTTGAATTAGAATTAATTTTATCCTGGTATATTTTTTTTCCTTCTTTAAAATGTTTTGAAGTTGCGAATGAGAAATGTGGAAAAACGTAAACCGTATTAATAACATTTATTTTTTTGTTTTGTTTAAGTTAATGATTCATTTAAAACAAAGTTCCGTCCAATAAAATTCCTTTTTTAAAATCAGTTCCATAAATTAACGTAATTATCTGGGTGTTCATATGAAACAAGAAATATATGTGATCGAATTCACAAAGATTTAGCATTCAGATTAAAAAGGTCATCAATTTATTTGGCGACTCGTTCTTTTGTGACCCCCCAAATACGCCCCTCTAGTTTCCCGAGATTTATCTATTTCCTTAAAAGTTCTTGTAAACAGCGGCCAACGAAGGACACTTAGTCTTTTAGCTTCTTCTTGATCATTTACTTTCCCGTAGAATTGCGTAGATCCTTCTCAATTGTTCTGCGCCATGTCTCTGTCAGAATAGACAAGTGGCATGAACATTTTTGAAAAGGTTTTATTTAAAGGAAAGCAAAAATCAACACTATTTCATGTATTTGAAATGATCTTTTTGACCTCATAAATTAATACAATTGCTTAGGTTTTCAAATACCTAGACCGTAGCTTCATTCATTTCTGACTAGGATTTCTCTCCCGGGATTTTCAAGACAACAAGATTGCCCGGGAAATTTTCTTATTCCGGAAAATCCCGGCAGCAAATCTCAGATTGTCACAAACTTTCGCCATTAGCCAAACCCGTTACAGCTAGTTGACTGTATTAAATTATTAAGCTCAGTAGCTCAATTACGCACATTCTCAAAAAAGCAAAATAAACCATACCCTGCCTATACCCTTGTTTTGTAAGTGTTTTTTTTGTTGAAGAGAGAGAGAGAGAGAGAGAGAGAGAGAGAGAGAGAGAGGGGGAGGGGGGGGGTGCAAAAATGTTGGCGTTCCTTATAGGTGGGAATTATTCCTAGCTACGCCACTTTGTCAAATTAAAACGTGGACAGGTGCCTCCAAANATAGACACACGTATAGCTTAAAAATTAAACAACCCATAAAATCAGAGTTTTCCCATATACATCCTTTATATGCATTGTTGTTTGCATTTATGCTATTGTACACGATTTATCATTTATGTTATTGTACACGATTTATCATTTATGTTATTGTAGCAGCTGATTTTTGACATGGGAATGGCTTTTATCAAACTTAGTACATATAAAACCTAATAGACTAAAGATATATTAAAACCCAAATATGTCATAAAAAAACAAAGCACGTTGCAACGCATACACAATTTATCTCCACATCGAAATTTGAACCCATTGAACTAATCGTTAACACCCCCCCCCCTCTTATTTAAAAAAAAAAAACAGAAAAAACAACTGATTATTTGGGGCTAAAAGTTTGACAAATGTGTTGTCATCGGCAACGAGTCTATGTGCCAAGTTTCAGCTCGATAGGATGCCAGGAAGTGGATCAATTGTTAGCCTAGCGAAGATTTTGCCGCCACAAATAAAGAAAGACAAACAAAGCGAAGTTAAAAGATTTAATAAGCATGTGCATTTTATCTACCAATCTCGCATTCATAATCTATTCATTAATATTAATTTGTATCCAGGCCAAGGTTATTGTCACGGCTGTGACACGGGTTAGCTTTACTCAAGCCTTAATCCCGCCTTTGAAGCTGGCCATTAATAATTAAACCGGGGCGCCCCCCCCCCCCCACCCCTCTCCCACTTCCTCTCGCTAGGCGCTGACATCAGTGATGGGATTAAATATTCAAATCACGAACCACACACACACGCACATACAAACCGAGAGCTCCACTTCACTCGTTGCCCGAACTCCTTTTACCTGTACAGTAGATGAAGCAAACGGTGATTATTGACACGCTTCTTTTCACTTACAGGGTCAACATCAGTGACATCATTTCTTACGGCTTGTAAGCAAACAAGATTTGTCCAAAGTCTACCTTAGTAAAAACATGCGTCCGTCCTTTTTTCTTTTTGTAATTAACTTAAGTACAAAGAAAAAAAACAACCTCAGTAGTGAGTCACAGTAGGACAAACTATATATAATCAGTTTCCCGTGAGTCGTGAGATGAGCCGATACACTTAACCGCTTAAAAAATTAACAAGTAATTGGGGAAGAAAAAAAAAAGTTCCCTTTTCATAATAAATTATATAGTCTACTTAATTTGTCAAGTAGGTTTTGGCAGCAAGGCAACGCTGACAAGATAAACACCTTGTAAATTAAGCCTAGGACCGAAGCTGGCACCAATATGTTTAAATTTAATTATTGGCTTAGGATGAATTTTAGTTCAAATATGTGGATACAAAGAATTGCCAGACTAAGAGTCGAAACTTCGACATTCACATTTGAAGCAAGAGTTCACAAGATTCTATATTATAATGTAATTTACATATATACATTGGTTATGTATTCAGAAACAGTTATAGTCAGTATAGGTTAACATTAAAGTAAAGTGGAGCAGACCAATCAGGAAACTGGTGGCGAGTAAATTTAAGGGAATCATAATTAAATGTATAAGGAGCTAGTCATAGCTTGCTTTATTTATTTATTCCATCTTTAATTAACTGATATTTACATTTACATGGAGCTAGCAACAGCTTACTATATTTACTCCATATTTGATTAAATGATCTGTATAAGGAGCTAGTCATAGCTGACTAAATTTACTCCATTCCCTACTGATTAACTAATTTCAGTTTAGTACTTTATTCATTTTTACATGTTTTAAAAATAAAAGAAAAAGATCTAACATAAATACTTTATTTTGCACACACAAAAAAAAAACAAAAAACAAAAACAGAAAGAAAAAAAACAAAACAAAACAAAAAAAAACCTAAATAAATCACAGAATATCAATTGATGTTGCCAACGAAAATTTTAAACATGCAATGAAAAGATGCAAAGAAATCACTAATCTTCATGGATTCAGGAAAACAGCCATGTTAACATATTGCTCTTATAATTTAATAAATAATACGTTTCTCATTCAATATCTAATGTTAATAAACTAATTTGATTATAGAATTTATTAAGTTCATTACCAGCAAAATTGACTTTAAGGACATGAGAAACTATTATATGACTCAAAATGTGTCATATTGAAGCACTATACTATGACTTCAACATTTCCAGTACTTATAGAACTGGATGTTGAAGTCAGATTACAGTGGCATCCTGCTTTTTGCAAACAAGTACAATAAAGAACTGCATAAAGTTGCAGCCATCTTGCTGAGATGTCTCTGTATTAAAAAAGAAAATATTAAACTTGAAACACATTATTAGTCTTAACCAACTATTAGATTCAGCCACAGAATGTTAAAACCCAAACACTTTTGATAATCGATATTTTTTTATTTTTATCATAAAATACACATTTTAAAAATTGCCAACAAACTGCACACAAGAAAATATTATTTAATAACTAATTCAACTTTGAGCATCCACTTTTCTCTCTTTTGAATTCTTTTTATTGCTAGCAGCAGACTTAAAACCTTCTCTCCCAGTTCCTCTAGACCGCTTAGGTCTCGATACCGCAGACTTAATATCATTCACAGCAGCCATTTTCTCTTTTGAAATAACTTTTTTGCTGTGCTGTACCTTGCCTGAAAACGTGACATCTGTGACACCAGGAGGTTGATAACTGGAGGGAGACAAAATATAATTATACAAGGGCTTAACAGGGTGCCCTTTTTTTTTATCCAGGGATCAGCTATTTTGAGAAATTATCCGGTAGTCCAAGCGTTACAAAAAAAGTTAACTTTTCCTGTTCTATAAACAATAGGCCTACAGACAGTCCTACAAGCTACCTGTTGGCATTTAAACTATATGCCCACAGATAGTTCTACATCCTGCCCGCCGGAATTTAAACAATAGTGCTACTGACAGTCCTACACCATACCCGTGGTTCTTTATTGATTAATATAATAGTCGCCTCCGAAAAAAAATTAAAGCTTTTTACCCATGATGCATGCTGATTATTTTCCACTCAGTACTATTAATGTAAAACATGTTGAGTCGGGGGGGGGAGGGCCGGTTGTGAAAAGGAAGCAGCCACACCAGAAGCAAAAGATATATATGAGGCCTCCTTTAGGTTAGAAAGTAATGCCAATAAATTGATTATTCTTCCTTCAATAACTTAGAAATATAAAAATGTTTTTGAGGGAAAGAATGTGCAAGCTTAATTTTATGGAGGCTCTATTTAGGCCTGTATATTTTCAATTTATAAAAATTGACTAGATTAAAAAAAAAATTTAATGAACATCAAAAAAATTTATAAAAAATTATTAAATAAATGAACAAAAATTAGTTGCATGACATGAAACACAAAACGTTGTTTAATAGATGCTATTGTGCACTGAATAGGGCACTAGAAGTCACTGCAGGTTTTGTTCTTTTGACTTATACAAAGTTTAAATGTTACAGTAAATAAGGTCTGTACAAGGATTAAATCACCCCCCCCCCCCCAAAAAAAAATTGGCGCAAAAATTGCTTTTTTTTGTAAACTTTTTATGGAGCCAAAAAAAATTCAAAAAAATTTGACACATTATTATGCCTTTCTTTCAATCAAAAACAAAAAACTTCATACTCGATTTAAGTTTTGATTTTTGTCCCTATTATCTCCCTTACCTATCTGAAGTGTTTTATAAAAGATAAAAAGCTGCTGGTGGTTCTGTTACTTTGATTGAAGGGTGACGTGAGTGATCCTGAAGCAGATTTCGAGTATGGGAAATGCTCTCGAGTGGAAGTGAGGGAATGGGGTCTGTGGGGAGGGGTCAGCGGGAGTGAGGGGGGGGGGGTCTGCGGAAGTCAATGAGCACCTCCCTAAATCGTTTTTGATGTCTATAATGCAATGTTGCATTTTAGTATATACCTGATTTAATTTTTTTTAAAATCATTCTACACTTAATCTGGGGGTGTGGGGGGGGGGGGGGGGGGGTGGGGGGGGGGGGGTCTGCGGAAGTCAATGAGCACCTCCCTAAATCGTTTTTGATGTCTATAATGCAATGTTGCATTTTAGTATATACCTGATTTAATTTTTTTTAAAATCATTCTACACTTAATCTAAGAACAACAAAAGAAATTGAAGAGGAAATTTAGCTTTCTTGACCTAGTTGTGGTCAAATGAATCCTTTATTTTTCATTCTTACTACATAGTAATGCTGTTTTGTAATTTTAATTTAAGATTTAATCAAAACATAACAAGGTTTTTGAGAGATTTTGTTTGCAAGCCAGTAGAATTGCTTTCCTAACCCAGTACAGAGTTGCCATTCAGCTTTCAGGAAACACCAGACATTTGGGAAACACTGACTTAGACGAAATATCATATAGGGATGGATGGGTTTAAAGATGGGCTTTAAATGTACTTGGACAGACTTTAACTGTGCTTGAAAAATGTTAACAGTGCTGATGGAAAACAATCCTTAACTTCAGAATTAATGTTACATGAGCCTTGATTTTAATTATAATAACCATGAGAAAAAAAGACAGGAAAGGAAGAAAATTAATATACATAGAACAAATTAAAGTTTTTATTGTAAAGCGAATATAATATTAGCACTATGTATTTAAAGAGTTATTATTTACCTTGGATCACTTGCATCAAGTGGGTCTTTGGACAGAAGTATTGATATTGCTGGTATATTAGTATTGACCTTTAACCTGAAAATTGAAATTGTTTATCTCAATAAAAATAAAATATGAAAAATTGTCCCATCAATCATTTATTTTATTATTTTATTATATAATTAGATGTTAATTTAAATGGCAGATCACAAAATTTCTATTTATGTAAATGCAGCCAGCCTTGATTTCCTCTTTCTTTAATATTAGTTACAGTACTCTTATCACTTTGGTCGATTCAGTAAAACATTGAAGTCATTTACAGCATTAACAATCTGACCTTTATTCTGAATTGTTACACTGTCACCTTGATAAATCAACAGAATTATGATATTATTTAACTGATTTCTAGTCACACTTGCTGAGTAAAATCATGCTAGTATTGCTAGTGTCACTTACTTAATTTACTTAATTTTCTGGATTAAAAGCATATTTTTATCACAAAATTAAAAAAAAAAAAAAAAAAATTAATTATGCTACATTTAAATATGTTGTGGGATCTCAGAAGTGGCAACTAAGTCCATGCAAAGTTTCAGATCAGTTTTCAAAATATGTAAAAGCATAAAGCAGAAAAGAAAAGAGCAACATAAATTTTCAGCTTTGTGTATTGCCTGCACTGATGACATGAGTACCAGTCAAGAGGAAATGCAGGTGCAAAAGATCCTATACTATGCCCATTACTTTATTTTTGAGTTATCATTAAAACTGCACATTATTTTTTGGCTAGTAGAATTCTTATTTTATTTCTATTTTCATAAATGTCTCTTGGGAAGTAGGGTAATTTTCTGGATATCAAGTTTTTAAAATGGCAACATATCTGCATCATAAATAAGTAGCCTAACACTACTAAAAAAACTAAATTAAAATTATGATCTAAGCAAATATCTGGAAATAATCCAAGAGGTATCACAGCTAGTTAGTGATATATTTTCTTGATTGATTTACACTTTAGTTTTCCACAAAGGCTAAGTCTCCTACCAGTGGTTTTATTATCTATGGTCTGTTGGTGAAGTATAATTTCTGAGGCATGGGATATCTGCATATAATAAATACTTACGTATCTAAACCTTCAACAGTTGGTTCCCAAAAGTCCTCAACTCTTAGAAATCCTATTTGTGTGATCTGATGCAAACCCTAAATCAATAAAATTAAAACTGAAGTTGACATGATCAGCAAAAAACGCTCATAAAATAATTTTTCAAAAATTATATTAAAGAGACAACACCTTAAATAAACCTTACTGAAAGTGTGATAATTCTTTATAATGATGGACATCTTTTAGAAAAACATCAAAACCTTAGGAATTTTCATTTTATCATGAAGCGTTATAGAACTTTAATGTCTTGGTGTGACATTTAATTTAAATGCTACTCTAGGGTAACTCTTTAATATTATTTGCAGACAGCACCTTGGTTAACCATTAGTTTTATTTCATACTTTAAAAAAACAAAGTAGACAAAGGGAAGTAAGCTACCTTTTAGAAAATTCGACCCCCACTATGTCATATGTTAATCTGTAAGTTATCAATTTTAACATACAGCTAATGAATTTCAAATATCCATTAGTTTATTAGAAAATAATAAAACTTACCTTGATTTTCCTTTTCATAATTTCAGCACATGAAATAGTTTTATTTATAGCATTTTCAGTGCCATTCCATGTCAAATGACGAATATTTTTATCCTAATGAAATAAAACAGGTTTGAATAATTAATTACATGATAATAGCAATGTGAGGCACATATTTTTAGGTAACCGTTTGGGAAAAAAAAAGACCTGCCAAATAAACATCACTAATAACTTTAAAAACAATTTCAGCAAATAAACTCAATTCAAGAAAACCAGGGACACATTTTATGGAGAGATTACAGAATATCTGCATTTAGAGTAAGCTTACTCATGTGCACCATCTCATACAAAATAAAGTATAGTAAAATTGAAATATATAAAAGGGAAATAACAGCCACCGCAGTGACTAAAATCGGTTTAGGACAGTCTATGGAGCAAAACAAAATATTTAATGAACCTGGCATATGTCCCTAAAAGATAAAATTTGTAGAAACAAGGTAACTTTCCAAATACAAGAACATCACTTGAAGATAATAAAGACAAAAAAAAATGCAAATATATGATGGGAACTTTAAAAAGAAAAGAAAACAACACAACATACTGCAAATGTTGACATAGCATAGCCCATTATGTTGCGTATTTTACTTCCATTGGTTACTTTCATTTCTACAGCACCTTCCATGGTCAAACTTGGTGGGTCGTACACAGTCCTGGACTCCCCTTTACTATAATTTTCCATTCCTAAAAATGAGTTGTCTTTGGCTGTCTTGATAAAGAATTGTTTTTAGAATTATTAATCGATGTATGCTTGTGATGGAGATACCGTATTTATAATTAACAAATATCTTCACATTAAATTGAACTCCGTTTATGATCAACATTAACTCACTATTTGCATCCCAATTAATTAATGCTATACTAGCAAGCTGCTATTTTTACTACCCGGTACTAGTATTTGAATATGGATGAATGAAAAAAGGCTCCCTAGATTCTATAAGTACCGTACTGTATTTTACGGACTATAAGATGCACCTTAATTGTTAAGCAATTTAAAAAAAAACAAAACATTTTTACCATTTTATATTAATTTTGAGTAAAAGCCAATTTTTTAAAGAAAAAAATGCGTCTTGTAGTCCGTAAAATACGGTACTTATTTAATTTTCTCTGGAAGAGCATCTACAACCAAATAGTATGTTGCAATAAAATGAAACAAGAAACATTGCTTAAAAAGACAACTGAACTCTACACAAAATTTAATGAGGTCTAACATAATAAATTTCATAAGTCCTTAAAATAACTGATGCGTTAGATTCAGAGATTCCCAAAGTGGTCTATATCGACCCCCAGGGGTCAGCGACAACTTGCAAGGGGTCCATGTCAGCGAGAAAAAAAATTGGGGGTTTATGAAATGAAAATGGGGGTCAACGATAGTGGATCTCATGTAAGCAGTCGTGACTTCTATTTTGGCATTCCATGAATGAAATGATCTACATACACAGATAGTACAGATGTAAGTAAATTACATCATATTACATTATAATATAAAACATATATCTTCCTACATAAATTATAAAAGTACCTTTTTTTTTTTTGCAAAAAATCATTATCAGGTAAGCAGGGGGTCTACCCAAAACCGAAAAACATGGCAAGTGGTCTACAAGAAAGTTTGGGGACCACTGCGTTAGATGAATTGGGCTAATTCATACACTATATATACATATGTGTGTGTATATATATATATATATATAGCTAAAAGCTTTTCATATAAATGCCTATTTTAAAAACTATATGATATGATTTGTATAATTATTACATAACAACTTATATTTTCAAGGTTTTGGATATTGCTTTTTCCCAATGACTTTATTACACTCATATGTTTCCCGTTAATTTAGCATGGCATACCTACACACTCATTACACTAAAGCAAACAAATAGTGTGATGTGCACCAGTTTGGGGAGCTCTGATCCACACTTTCTCTTTGAAAATTATTGATCACCATGTAAAATTGTCAAACATAATTATAATCACCTTGTGCAGAATTACAGATCTTCCATTGAGCTCCTCTCCGGGTTGCAGATATGGGAAAAACCAACTGGATATGGTGGATACAGGGAAATAATATACTCAGGGCAGACCAAAATCAGAATCTACTAATTTGGGGAGGGATCCACAGAGGTTAGGGAACCTCACCTGAAAATAAATTCAGCAAGTAGTGTATCTGATAAAAGAATACTTTTTATTAGATGCTGGAAAATATCTATGATGAGGCATCATTGACACATTATTAAAATAGTGATTGGTGACTTACATTATGCAAAACTAGGGAAAGAAAAAGTGTTTAAGTTTAAGCCAACTGTTACGCACTGCCTTCTCTTGTGGGAAATGAATCTCCTATTTTAAATTTATGACTCGTTCAAACAGTGCCTAACAAAGGACGATACCATAGAAAAATAAAATAACAAAATTAGGACACCCAAAACAGTACCAATTACAATTAATAAAATTTAATTTAGTAATAATACAATTACAAAACAAAAGAAATATCATTACAAAACATCAAATTACAGTATGGTAGAGCTTGTACCTGTACACAGTTAACACAGTTAGTACAATGTGCCAATGAATAATGATGAATGATCAATGCGAATAAACACATGTAAGCACACAAAGAATAATACATGTCTCGTGAAGTTAAAAATATCTATCAATCTCCGTCTCTCTCTGTGCCTGTCAATCCCTTATATATGTGGGTCTACCGACGCGTCGAGAAATGCCCTTACTTTTCTAATACAATCGAGAACCTTCGACAAGATACTAGTAGACCTACTAACCATGTTTAATAGGAAGCAGGTAGTAAACAAGATACATCAAAGACTAAGCCACGCCCAAAACAAACGCTATGTGGGGGTGAAACAAAGTTCAAGCACGGGAAAAGGGCACTACATAACACCAACTATTGGCAAGGAGAGTGTACATGAAGAAGCCATAGACTTTGTCTCAGGAGAAGTGATCACAGTAGCACCAAGTTTCCACACAAAATATACATAAAGTTACTTGGAACTCTCCAGATTTAATCACTCATAGCCACATTGACCATGTTATAATCGATCAGAAGCATGGATTATGATGGATCAGACTTACTAGACATGAGAAGCTATCCAGCAGCAGTTGGAGACTCTGACCACCTACTTGTAAGTGATAGATATAAGCAGAGAATAAGCATAATACACAATGGCCAAAATCAAAGAGAAAAAAGACATGATTACAACAAACTAACTACATATCCACTAATCACAAAAGCTTACCAAAATGAAGTAGAAGCACAACTAAAAGCATCCTTAGATTAAATAAGCAGGGAAAATAACATAAATGAACAGCGGGATAGGTTAAAAAGTGCTAGTTCAGACAAGATCAGCAGAAAAAGTAGAAGGATTTCAGCAAACTAACAGGTGAGTGGGGTATGATAATGAATGCAGAGACTTTTAAAGAGTGGAACAAGGCATGAATGATCATGATACAAAGGGAAACCAGAAATATGAGACAAATAATTGAAATATACAATGAAGTCAGAAGGAAAATCTATGGGAAGAAAAAAAGGGAATGGGACAAACTAAACTAAAAGAAATAGAAGACTTAGATTAGAAGAATGTGAATGAAGATATAAGACATAAAGAATGGGTACCAAGCCAGATCCCAAATGTGTAACAGACAATTAATTATGAAAAATAGTAAAGCACTGGAAAGGTGGGCTGAATATTTTGAGGGAATATTAAATGCAGACAATGGATAAGATGAAGATTATGACTTATGAACCATCAAATGGCGGCCCAGACCCTTTAATAAACTCCACTAATTTGGAAGAAACTACAAAAGTAATCAACTCTATGAAAAATCACAAAGCCCCTGGGAGAAGACCTCATCACAACAGAAATTAATTAATATGGAGGAAGAGAACTACACACTCAGTTTATTATTAGTATTATTCTTTAAGTTTTTTGGGTATTCAAACTCCTCCTCTTTTTGATGCTGCTTAGGTCAGATGCCTATTAGAGAAATGTTACGAATATAATATCCCAGTGCACCAACTCGAGGATTATAAAATGAATATTCAAGGGAATTTCAGATTAGACTAGGCCTAAGACAAGGAGACTCACTGTCTCATATGCTATTTAACCTAAAATTAGAGAGAGTTATAAGAAGCATACAAATAGAGAGTGAGGAAAACTCACAGGATACTTATTGAGGGAAATTTCACAACCAATAGGCACTCTCAACACCAAACCTTGCATGCGAAGATGACATAGCACTGTTAGGGAAAAGTATAAAGACAAATCAAAAGCTTTTATAGAATTATTAGACACATTATTACAAGGGAGTTAGCAACCAAATAATAAAATACATGACTAGGTTAAGAGAAGATCAGACAAATGAAACCATTAAAATTAGAAACCACACTTTTGTAAAAGTAAATCAATTCACATAACTTAAATCCTTAATAAATGAAAAGGCAGTGGACATAATTATAGTTTACTTAAACTTAAACCATTTATTATTAATTTTTGTGAAAATTTTCATTTTTTACAAATATAAATTATTTTTTAAAGTTATGGAATATATAAAATATTATTTTTTTTGTGATGATCTTTTATGAGAGTAACTGGTATCAAAACAGAACAAATTTCTGACAATTGGGGAGTGGGGATCTAAAATTGGCCAAAACAGACTGAACCCATTTATGAATGATTCATTAAAAAAAAAAAATAGATCCAGCTTTCTGGGATGTCATTTGTAGTACAGCTTTGCGTCTCCAGATCAGACTCAGAAATATCTTCAGGCATCGTTATTATCATGTCTTTTGTCATGTATGTTAATATTTTGGCTTATTTAAGTGAAGGACAGATTGTTGAGAGGTAATTAGCAATTTTCTTCATTTCACCACCAATCTTTTAAATTAAAGAAAATATTAACTGCTCTACAAAGTACAAAGTGATGTGGTTAGGGATAGTGCCTAGCTTTTTGCCGCCCAGTCCATGAAATGACTCTGCAGTTGGGCTAAAATGCAGCCTCTAAATATATAGAAAATGTGCCACCCGGGACAGACATACAAATTCCCAGCCACTGTTCGCATATACTCAATCACTGGAAAGTTGGTAAACCACTACAGATATCATTTGTGTAACAAAACATAGCAGTCGCAACTTGAAATAATCACACAGCATGCAACGGTACGACCAATGACAAGATGAGCAGTGCCGTGGAAACCAGTGTGGATGAAGGCTGTATTGTATGCATACGACTCTACACACAAAGACAAAGTCAAGTAGGCTCAAGTAGTCCCATGCCTATGCCATGCACTCTTTTTTAAGATTTTCCCCCAACCTGCTATACTGATACTCGACAGAACGATTCAAGAGCATATAATAATGTGTATAATGTATGAGTATGTATACCAAACATCAAATTTTGAAATGTTACTTGGAAAATCCGTAGAAAAGAAAAGTAAAGTTGGTACCAGTACACCATTCGGCTCATTCGGGGTGTGTTTTACGAGAAGAACAAAAAGCCCTGAGTAAAATAAAGTAAATAATTAAAATTATAATATAATGAACTATACTTATACTAAGACTAAAAATTATAGTTATAGGCACGGCCACGGTAACTAGTATTATTTAATATTAACACCCTTGTTTGTTTTAAACTACTAAATTGTCTAAATAACCTTCTTATATATATTATGCAAATTTATCAAAATTCAATCCGCATGTCAAGCCTCTTACTGGTAACTTCATATTACGTTAACATCTTCATTTAATAACAATTACTTAATACTACTACTGTACTTAATTACTAAGTCTAAGCCTAAGAAGCATTTACGCATATGTTGTTGGTTTAGTAATAGTAAAATACTAGTATTTACTAGTATAGTAGTTCTTCGCAGTCAAATAAACTGAGAAACTACTAAAAATGTTGGGGAAAAATCATTAAATTTTTTAAAAGTTTGCTGAAGAAACATTTAGAAAAAGCATTTATCCTTCACATCAGTTGAACTTATTTTCGTTTCACATCACATACTGTAATTATTTTATATGTGATAATTATTTTTTTTGAACGCAAAAATATCTAGATTATAATTGTTTCCAAAAACCCACCCGGCCAAAGAAAAGTCTGATTTTTGCCAGATAGGCTAACATTATAAAAAATGTCTCCTAATTAGTCGTTTAGATCTTCTTACCTATATTATTAACATTAACATGTTTATGCAAATAAATAATAGAAACCCATTATTTTAATAAACATGTTATATTGCTAAAATTAACACAGGCTTGTTATGAAAGACAACAAAATATATGAAGATTTAAATAAGTTCACTTAGTAACCACCATTGTACATAAAATTAGTATCTATCTATCTATCTATCTATCTATCTATCTATCTATCTATCTATCTATCTATCTATCTATCTATCTATCTATTTATCTATCTATTTATCTATCTATCTATATATCTATCTATCTATCTATTAAAAAAAAAAAATATATGAAGATTTAAATAAGTTCACTTAGTAACCACCATTGTACATAAAATTAGTGGTAAAAAATAAATGATATCCCTATTGAAAGTTTTATTTATATAAATAAGCTATGTTTGGAACGCAAAAAAAAAAAAAAAGCAACAAACAAAACAAAACAACCAGAGGTATGTAAAATTGCTTAAATGTCAATTACATGGTGTCTAAAAGTATTAAACATAATTTTTTTTTATCAAGGAAGGTTTAATTATTTAGCTTTATTTACAATCACAAAAATATGGCCTGTTGTCACTTCCGTCAAGTGGAGTAAATGGAAGTAAACCTGCAGGCTAACTATTAATGTTAAATTGTTAAACTTACTGTACTTGCAGTAGGTCTACGTATAATATAAATATAAGTATTTGTAAGGAAATATATTTATTTACTTGGACTCCTTGGTACTTTAATTAGTACCAATGTTATTAAGTTTCATTATTCAGGTAGGAAGCCAAAAAGTAACATAAATTATTAAGTCAAGTATACTATTACTATTAACTATTACTATTATAGTTATATTATAGTTACAGTCTTAAATAGTAAATAGATAAGACATTCATTCATTGACAATTGAATGAATTGATAGATAGGCCTATGCCTATACTTCATATTCCATAATCATATAGATAAAAATAATATCATGTACTTCATATATTATAGTATTAATCGTATACAGTCTAATTCTAATAGTCTAATACTAATAGTAAATGGTAAATTTTGAGAGAGTTTTCTCACCCTAAGCCTAGTGATGACACATTGGGGCATCCTAACACTGGGCTTCGGGTGAATAGTTCTATTCTTTGAAGGTCCCGAACGATGTGTGTTTTAACATTCCTGTTCTTTATTGAGCATTACTCGCGTCATAAACGATACGGTTAATATGAAGTCAATGAATGAAGTTTATGAAAATGAAATTTTCCATTAATATGTATTAAAATTCAACTTACATTACACTTACACGTTTCAAAAGGAAGGAAAAAAGAAACACATCCTTGCTGATACCGCAAGACCCAACACTGGTGAAAAAAATGACGCCCGCCAAAATTGCTGTATTTTGATTAGTTGAAATCAAAATACCCATATTTAGGTAACAAAAGTACGACTACTGCTTAATTACTCATTAAATTGTATTTGTAATGATCTTCTAGGAATTGGGGAGGGAGACCCCTCCCCTCACTTTAAATACCCAAATAAGAAACATAGAAATTCTCTTGGGAGGGGAGACCCCTCCCCAGTACCTCTCCCCAATTTAACAAAAAAATATAAAATAAGAAACATTGAAATCTTTTTAGTATGGCACTGTAGACGGAAATGGACCTGGGGGAACCTCCGTGACCTTTATACCGTGGAACACATCGTTGGCCTTACCGCTAACTCAAAACCAGCCAATAGTAGTTATTCTAGTTTGATATATATTATTACTATATGATTGATATATTATTATTCATTATTACATATTTTCATATATTATGATGTTTTGTATATTAAATTACTAATATAATATTAGTCTTAGCATTATTAATTGGTAATCTACCTCTTCAGCGTTCATTATGAAAAAAAATGTTTTTTTTCGATTTTATGTTCTTTTTAAACAGTTATTCTTTTATTGATGTCTGTTAATGTACAGTGGTGAGTGCTAATGGGTTTTCGGTGCCATAGAATAAACTTATAATAAAGATAGTGGGCGCTGTTTTCTCATTGAAGTTCAATCATGTCACAGGATTATAAATATCCTTTGAGGCTCACTTATTGTGCGAGACAGGTGGTCGACTTATGCAAACATAAACCAGATCAGAGATCAGACACAGAATCTAAAAACATTCAGTTTTTCAACAAAATCTTTTCAGTCCAAATGACGCTGGTGTCCGCACACAGACTGTCGAAAATATGAATATGTGAAGGCTTGCAAAGCACCAACTGAAAAGACAGTTTAGCACATCCCGTAATATTTTCACTTCATACTTGCATGAGTTCATATCATGGAGTTGATCTAAACTCAAACTCTGCTTTCTTTTCATACATTAAATTATTGAAGTTTTCTATTTTAAAAATGTTTTTTATACTGGTGCTGAAATGATCATGTACAGTGTCATAAAAACATTTCCATTTATTTGGATCCATAGAAGAATTTTATCTTATCAATAAAACATTAACTCTTTTAATAGCACTTCAAACTGGAACAACTTTATTTTTTCATAACCTACACTCAAGTGGTAGATTACCTATACTATTAATTATTATTAGTCTTAGTATTTTTTTGCTCTCTGGACTCTTGGATTTGGATACTACTTAGTTAGGGCTACTATTTAGTTGATCAAAATGTAATATTTGTCTCTTTACTATGAAAAGGTTACCAACCATACACATAAAGTTTCTTTTAGGTTAGTTTTAATCTTTAGACTTTAGTCACTCAAGTCACATTCACTTTACTTTAAGCCTATTAATACTTAATTAAACTATAGTTATAGAGTTTAAATTAAGACTGAAGGTTGCTAGGTCTATTTTAAAAAAAAAATTAGTCAGACTTCAGCAGAAGCATGGAAATAGATAGAGAATAGTAGACGGTTTGAAACCAGCTAAAGTATTTGGAGCCTACTAGAGCATTTGGAATCCAGGGACAAAATTAATTTTTACGCCCCTTCTTCAGCAACTCTGAAATCCATTATTCTCATCAATAAAATGCCATAACCCGATGTAACGCCAAATTGTTATTCATTAAAGTATTTAAGGAAACTAAAAAAACGAATGCATAGTGAATGATAGTGCTTAGGCTTATGGCAGTTTAGGGTCATATCACACAGTCACATCGCCACAATATGATATAATGATATTAGACAAGTTTTGAAGCACATTTAACATCAAATTTTTTAAAACATAGCTATTTTGTGCTATCTTTCATTAGACCAATTTTTTTTTTAGATACTTTAAGAAATTTCAGATAGAAAATATTTAATTAGGCCAGGCTATAGTAAAAGTAATTATTTTTCAGAATGTAAATTTGTTGAATTTTTTTCATTACTGATGATCAGTCGTTATGCCAGTTATGTTTCAAAGCCCATTTGGCAGCCCTGTTAGTCTTGCATCGAGGGAAATTTGCTCCCCTCTGCGCTTGGGCTTAGACAACTAAATTAAGAACTCACAATGAAAGTGTAACTAAAAAACATTAATCTTAGACTTAGATCTAAGAGATCTAAGTCAATTACTTCTATTAGGCACCTACTGTAAAGTTGATAACTGCCAGTCTGCTCTCAGGTCCATAATGCATCTTGGAAGAGATGGGGGGTCCATGCAGCGTTACCAAAGTCCTTAGATGAAATGTAGGACTCAAAATTTTCCAAAAATATTTTTTAAAATTTAATTATTTATTGATTATCATAAACTCGCGTTCCCGTTATGCGTTAGTTTTACAAAAATGACTTCCGGAAACCTGTTTCATTGGTTACGTAGTAACCTTTACCATTAAATTTAATATTGCTAGTGCGCTTGTTTAGTTCACGTAACAGAATAGCATATAAAACAGAACAGTAAGTAAGAGGGTGTCGATCGAGGAAAGGCAGGAGAAACTCTGACAAAAGGCATATTTCTGGTTTGTTGACCTGACAGTGATTTAAAAAGGGGACTTGTCCAGGGAAACCCAGATACATGGTAACCATAGTTTCATGAATTTGTGATAATGTGTGGTAAAAGTATCTAATTTATGTTACAAATTTTTGACAAATGGGGGGGGGGAAAGGGAAACAGACAAAGTTCTGGGAGTCATTTATGAATGGCATCATAATAGATAAATGATCAGGTCTATCTTTATTGTTTACTTACAGTCACTACTAGCACTATACTGTTGTCAGTGTTAACTAATCAAATACATGTAGGCCTGTGACTATGATATCAGAAATCTAAAGTTAACTCAATGTCAGAATATTTTTTTTTCACTTGAGTGATTAAGAGTAGCCCTAAGTGAGCTCAGAGTGATTGAATAACTGTTTCTTAGTCAGTAGTCCTTGGTAGAGGAAAAAAAATAGTCCTTGGCCTTACCTAATTGGTTTTTATTTAATAAACAATATTCATAGACCTAGGCCACTGGTCAGCAAACTCATTGGTCAAAAGAGCCAAAAATCAGCAGCAGGATGATTTAAAAAAATTTGAGAGGCAAATTTCTTTTCAAGAACCTGTCAAAAAACATTTTTTTCTGAGTCAAAACCGATTTGTGGCCGATCTGGGAAAATTTGATGATTATGTCGATGGTGTAACATTTTTAAGTTTCTGAGATACTCCTCAGATAGGACATGTATCTAGTTTAGTTTGGCCAACATTTTAAAACAGTGGGATGGGTAATATTAGACAGGTCAATTTTCAAAGTT